CTTCATCTGAACTTTGGCTTGGTGGTCTAGCACCTGACTTTTGGTCTATGCCCGCCTTCCACATTTCTATCCACGGTGATACCCACGAGCACGGTTACTATGATATAAATAGCTACCCGTAAGTAGTGGAAGAGATGTAAGTTTTGGAGTCAGCAGTGATCGTTTCAAAGCCCAGTTCTGACAGCATAAACTACATGCCCTTTGATAAATACTTAAAAGTCTAAACTGTGATTAGAGGCTTAACAAAAATGACCTTGCACTGTACGAACAGCCATCTGAGATAACTTCGGTTTTGCATGCAGCTCATTTAAACCTGTACATAGCAGAGACAAATTGCTTTCCCTTTCTTCATAAATTTCTCAATAGCCAGGACATACTCTGGAGTATATATATCTAAGACAGAGCAGAGAGGAGACCCAAAATTCCACACTCAGGATTTGTCTTTCTTTCACACTTCAGGTTAGGGCTTCAGATGACGAAAAGTCGGAAGCTGTTAGTTCACTGGGCGCTAGCCTAGTGAGAGAGGGCTATCTTCTATAGTTTGAAACTGTGGTGTATCAAGAAGGAAGGACATTCACACATGCTAACAGCTTATGTCTCTTTGATTAACTCATTAGTGATCAAAATAGAAAGAAAATAGTTAAGTGTGAAGAAAACATTCTTTTGGAACCAGCAGATGCATAATGGTTATGTCGCTGGACTCCCACATAGTTGACCGGTGGTTCTAGTGCTGGACCCTGCAGTTTAAAACTCACACTGGGTAGTGTGTGAGTGTGCCCAAGATCCCAAAAGGAGAATGGGGGAGAAGGGATTGTGCCGTAGCCACCCCACCCCTGGGAGGTGATTTCTTGCCTTCTGTCTCTCTGTCTCTCTGGCAAAAGCACGCGTCCCTTAGCAAAAATCTCTCAAAAAATTACTTTGACAAAGGATGGGAAAGAGGCCCAGCTGCAGTGGTATAAGCAGGAAGATGCCACTGTGCAATGGCTGAGGCCACATGAGAGGCCCAGGTTCAGTTTCTGGCCCAATCTAAATAGCCTTTCAAATATGCCTATCTCAGGTCACCCCTGTAACATAGTGGTTAAGATAGTCAGATCATGTATGGCTGACCGTGGTTCGAATCCTGGCCACAGCAGCTTGAAAAACATACCATTCCCATGTGTGCACATGCCTCAACTCCCAACAGGACGATGAAATGAAGGAGAAGGGGTGGAGGAGTCACCACGGCCCACTAGGGGGTGATCCCACCCCCCCCGTCTCTCTGTCTCATGAGCACATGCACTCTCTATCAATTTTTTAAAAAGATACCTCTCTCTCTTTTCTTCACTGGCTTTCTTGCTCGCGCTCTCAAAAAATAATAAGGTCAGGACCAGCAGGTGGCATGGTGGTTAAGGGCACTGGACTCCCATGTGGCTGACCACGGTTCGAGTTCCACACCTGATGGCTTGCTTTCTTACCTCCTGCCCCCTTACTCTGTCCTTCTCTGGTCAAATTAAAATAAATAAATAAAGTTAATAAAATAATTAAAAAAAATAAGGTAAAGTATAAAAAGAAAAAATTTATTACTACAATGAAGATAGTATTTATTCATTTAATACCTTTAATTTCAAATGAGATAAATAACTATATCATGTAATTTTTAAGAGAATTGGCAAAGAAGAGAACGATTACTTTTTAATTTTTAAAAATTTCTACCAGAAGGAACATGTACTTGCAGAGAGAGAGAGAGGGGTACCGAGAAGAAGAGAGAAAAAGCACCCCTCAGTGGGGCATGGTCACACTGCAATGCCGTCTCCTCCCGTTCTCATCCTGTCGGGACTCTGGGCCCCGTGTGCACACCTGGTGTAGTTTTCATGCTACTGTGGCTGCGAGTCCAACTGTGCAGTGAGCCGGTTTACATCTGGCCCCCGTAACAACCAGGCCACAGGGCTGGCCTGAAGAGCTATCGCTTTAATATTGAAAAGAAATACATATTCCCAGAAAAAAAGAAATGCAAAGAATTTTTGACTATATCAATCCTATCTATCAAGTGGCTTTTATGTATAAAGTACATTTTATATTTCCTTGGTTAGGCTATCTATGAATCAAAGCTTTCTGGCAGCATACATACTTTATACGAGAACGCTAATTTTTTTCTAAACTTTTCTAATGGTTTAGGTACTTAAGGTTTAGGCATACAAAAAGACAGAATTAATCTAAGATTTCAGAATCAAATCAAAAGGTTGTAAAATAAAAAAGCTCTTGTTAAAAAATGAACTGCTACTTTTTTAAACGCAAGAACTATGCTAGCATTTGGGCTCTACTGATAGACTAAGTTGTAGTTATTTTAAGCATGTCCTGTGGAAGCAATGTGGTTGCTGCATCAGTTTCCTCTCCCTGAATAGCTTAAGTATGGTTAATCTGAAAAGAAGGGATACAAAGAAACATTGAAATAGAAAATAAGCTATTAAGAACATAGTTCCAATAGTTGCAACTTAAATATTATTCTAGGGCTGTCCCTGAAACTTAGTGATTAAGGAAGTCAGATTCCATATGTCTGACTGTGGTTTGAATACTGGTCTCAGTGGTTTCAAAAATACCAAGAACACATGCGTGTGTACCCCAAATCCTGATAGGATAGAGAAATGGAGAAGGGACTGTGGTGTGACTGTGTTCCTTTGAGGGGATGCTTTCTCTATCTCTGTCTCTGTCTCCTTGTGAGCACGCATAACCTCTGGCAATTAAAAAATATATAATTCTAACACAAAGAGATGAAAACATATAAAATCCTTGGGGGACCAGCAGTTAGCGTAATGGCTATGTTGCTGGACTCCCAAGTAGTCGATCATGGTTTGCGTCCCAGACCCGGTGACTTAAAACTCACGCTGGGCATGTGTGCGTGCATGCCCAAGATCCCGGAGGAGAAAGGAGGAGCAGGGATTGCGGCGTGGCCATCCCCCCTGAGGGGTGATTTCTCGCTTTCTGTCTCTATGCCTCTCTCTGTCTGTCAGGTGAGTGCACGTGCCCTATACCAAAAAAAAAAAAAAAAAACAAAAAACCAAAAAAAAAACCTCTCAAAAAAACCCCAACATATAAAAATCCTTATAGTTCTAGTGTTTAAAGGTGACAAAATTATGTATAAGTTAAGCTATTTAAAATGTCTTAACTGGGACCAGCAGTTAGTATAATTGCTATGTCACTGAACTCCCATATAGCCAACCATGGTTTGAGTCCCAGACCAGGTGGCTTACACTCATGCCGGGCGTGTGTGTTTGTGTACCCAAGATCCCGAGAGAAGAATGGAGGAGAAGGGATTGCAGAGTGGCCATCCACCCTGGGGGGTGATTTCTCGCTTTCTCTCTCTTTGTCTCTCTCTGTCTTTCTGGCGAGCTAGCGCAAGTGCCCTATTAAAAAAAACCTCTCAAAAAAAAAAAAGTTTTAACTATTATACTGGGCTGACTCTGTAGCATAGCCATGAAGTGCAGTACATAGGGAACTAGATCTCACATTGATGACCGTGACCTGAATCCTAGCTCTAGTGGCTGAAAAACACATTGAGTGTATGTGAGTGTGCACCCCAAAACCTGATGGGATAGAGAAATGGAGGAAAAAAATGTAATATTGTGATCAGTGCACATGCCTCCTGGCAATTAAAAAAATTACATTAGGGGCCAGCAGGTGGCATAGTGGTTAAGGCACTGGACTCCAACATGGCCGACCACAGTTCAAGTCCTGGACCTGGTGGCTAGCTTTCTCACTTTCTCTCTCTGTCTCCCTCTTGTGAGTGCACATGCCCTATAACAAATGTAAAAATAGTAATAATAATAAATACAATTAATAATTCTTTAAACAAAATTACATTGATTTTCCTATGATGGTTAGTATTCTAACAGCATTATACAAGACTAGAAGTAGGACTGAAGTATTAATCAAAGAATAATGTTTTAATCCAATTTGTGATTTCATCCATACTCATTTGACTAAAGATAAATAAACTATTTCTAACTTCAATTTTCCTTCTGCTAAATTTCTAAGCATACATAAGATCACAACGCTTTTTTAAATATTTAAGGTCTGAGGACTTAAGGAGTAGTTTCTTCCCCAAAACGTCTCCAATACCCTAAATTTACTCCATTGAAGCTCAGTAAGAGCTGACTCAAGGATGATAAAAAGTGTCAAATTCAAAGAAAACAAGGTATCTTAAAATAATCCTACTTAAGCAATCATAAAACATACAATGACATACATAAACTGTGGAGTTGAAAATGATCAGATAGAGAATTGCTAAAATGTACTTACTGAGAAATGGTGTTGGTATCGAGGTCAACACAACTGACATCTGGTGGAGGGTCATAGAGGTCAAAGTATCTTGAATCGATCCCTACTATGAACGGGCACGGTGCGCTCAAGACATCCGCTAAGGCCAGTGGGCAGAGAGGGACGTACGGGCATGGCCAGTGGAAAGGGAAAATCATCTTGGATAAACAAAGGGTAGAAGAATATTTAGCTTTTGACACAGAAGCATAATTCATCAGCAGATACGCAAAATTATCTTTTAAGGATTTTTACCTAAAGTGTTAATGTTTCATAGTGAATAATTATAACTAGAGTTAATAATCATAAAATTAAAACTGCCTCCACAACATAAGAATTTATTACTCTCTGAATTTTAGTTAAGCATTAAACTAGCTTTAAATGACATGAATTAATTAAGTTTAAACTAAATTGATCGCCAGTAAGAAACTGTGGTACTCACAGACACTAACGCCTCTGTCACACTAGTCAGCACAGAAGGCCGCAAGGAATGGATGAGAATTTTATGTTCTGTTACTGCAAACACCAGCAATGTCACAGCATTTTCAGGGCCTAAATTCTGAAGTAGTGTTGAAAACTTGCCACCACTGTAAACCCAAACAGAAATATTTAGTTACAAAAATAAAGATCCAAACACTTCATTGTCTAAAATAATGGGGGAAAGTTCATGATTTAGGGCACGATTTGTGTTATATATTCAACTTTCAATGTGACTCTTGTTCTCATGTAGGGAAAACACTGCTTCACAAATACACTAGGAAAGCAATGTGGTATGATGAGGTTTCAAAATCATTTGTTTCTTCTGTGCTACATTCAACGTGGAACCTGAAAGTCACTGCTTTGTTTACAAGAAGACCTGTTATGAAGGTAAGGTCTACACATTCCAGTTTATAAAGGAGATGCTGTGGTTCAAAGCAAATCCTTTATTAAAAGTTTTTAATATCTTCCACTATAATTATCAGAAAAAACTATGACTTACAGGTCTACCTCCCTTATGGTAAGTACACATATTAAAATGCCTTTTGGGTAATTCAGAATTGTTTATACACAGAGGAAAGGAATGCCCATATCTTTGATGTGATGGGAGAGTTTAAAGTGAGTATAAATTATTTTCTCTCCTTCCCCAGTTGAATATATGTTTGTAGTTTCATTTATATTTCACTTCTGTTTGTACTCTTCATAATTAAATTGCTTAATCACCATTGATGAAGTGATTTAGATAAAGAACACGTTTTCATGTATTATCATTATATACAGACCCAGTATTTCTAGTTCATTTTCTGTTCAAATGAAGGTTAAGAAAATACTGGTCATGCTGGGCTGAAAGCTAGTGATGAAATAACCTGCAATTCTTACAAATCTAATGTCAAAGATGGCAGCTGGTCTCCCGTAGGCATACACTATATAATAACTTAATTACATTATAATGACTATTTCTCTGGTGAAAAAATTATGTGGCTGATTACATTTCAAGAAATGTTACCTTAGAGAAAACATTATTTCATAATTTCTCTGAACTTATAAAGTGATAAAACACATTGTTCTATTCCATAGTTAAATAATTATAACTTTTTTGGGGGGTTAAATTTTAGGTTAATTGCATTTGAATATTTTCATAAAAGAAAGTTAAAAATAATAGCTTTAGTAATCTACACATATGTATCCATTTATGTAATAGAAAGTACTTGATAATAAATGGATACATCAAATACTGAACACAATCGCAAAGTTTTTCTTTTTTCTTCAAAAGCTAACCCAAATGTTAAGTAAAAGACATTCTGATAATAGTTAAATGATAAGAATTTTCATTACCATTTGACATCTTAGCAAGGGAAGAGAGGAAATATTTGAATGTTACTTTAGCTCACACCAGATTTAGAGAAACATAAAGAGAAATGAAGTTTTACTTGCCTTAGAGGAAGAGGTGAAGAAACAGGCTGACTGAGAATCAGATTATCATGTGGTGATAACTGAAAGATTTAAATAAAATACTTGAAACATAAAGATGAACTTAAAAAGACAACTTTCTGGTATAAATCGTGTGGACTGATGATGAAGTTTCACCATATCCATTTACCAGTACAGGAATGGTTTTTATCACTTACTAAGACTGAAAAGTAGGTACTGACCATTCACCCCCTTCAACCACTAACTCTTCTTATTCCAAATCCTATCTTTTCTTCTATCCTTAATGTTTCCCTAATGACACTTCAACACATTCCCATTGGAAGGCTATTTATTAAATACCATAAAGCCAGGGTCAGCCAACATATTGCTGCTTACAGGGCAAACCATTTGGCTGGCTGTTGTAGTTTTTACTGGAATACAGCCATGGTCATTCTTTATGTGTTATCTGCTGCTTTAGTACTACAACAACAAAGCTCAGTATAGGTTGGGCACCCCAATCTGAAAATCCAAAATGCTCCAAAATTTGTAACACTTTCAGTGCCAACAAGTAGAACATTCCACACCTGATCTCATATGATAGATTGCAGTCAAAGTGCTGGAATATGAAAATAGCATATACAACTACCTTGAGGCTATGTGTATAAGATATATATGAAACATACATGAATTTATGTGTAGATATGAATCTTATCCCCAAGATATCTCATTGTGAAGACAAATATTCCAAATTCTAAAAAAAATCTGAAACACTTCTAGACCCCAGCATTTCACATTAAGAGATGTTTAACCCATACTTGACAAGAAATCAGCTAGCCTGCCAAGACTAAAAAACCATTTTTTTAGACAGGGTCTTGCTTTCTTTGGATCTTCTTGCCTCAGCCTCCTGAGCAGCTAGGACTATAGGTGTATGCCACCATGTCCAGGTTTTAGGGCGGACTAGAAATCCAACCCAGGCCTTCCATGCCGTCTCAGCCTGCCAAGCAGCTGCGTCAACCAGCACGTGCTACCACGCCAGAGACGAAAATATTTAGGATACTGTCCATAACAAAAAAAGCCTGCTGACTTCTGCCATAAAACAAATATTTCATGTGTGCTCAACCTGACTGCACTATATATATCCTGGCACAAAACAGCATGAAATAAGACAGGGTGACATGTGGATATGCAGACTGACTGTAAAGCTCATTATAAGATGATATTTTTCTAGACTTTTTATCTATATCCATATAATAATAAATTATTCTAATCTATATTTTCAAATGTATACAGATTACAACAAATTTGTAAATATCTATCAAATTATTTCTACTGTTAAATGATACCATATTAAGGACTGTGATAAACACAGTGAAGCATACATAATGATAACATATGAAAATATTTTCTTTATGTAAATCACTCCATAAACGATGATTAAATAAATAATTTACTTATGAAGAGCACAAACAAAAATGAAATGTACATGAAAGCAGAAACATATTCAATGGGGAAGGAGACAGAGAAAATATTGGGTTGTCGGAACTCAAGACATGTTTTTCTATGCAAAAATGTGTCATGACTTTTCTGACAACCCAATAATTTATATTTGTTTTAAACTTTCCCATCACATCAAAGATCTGGGCATTCCTTCCTTCCTGCAATTTATGTAAACAGACAACTTTTCCTTATATCTATTCTAATGCATTTAACTTACTAAATGCTTGCCAAAAGTATAAGCTTTCAAATATCTAGAACAAATTTAGAAGAAAAAGTCCTTCTCTATGAATTTAAAATGTCTGCTGTAACTTTTCAACCCTTTCACTAAGGGAAACACATTTGCTGTCTGAGAGGCAGATAATAAGACATGGAGGGCTCACACGCCAACATGACATGGCATCTGCTTCTCTTTAAATCTCATTCACTCTCCCCTGTAAAAATGTTCTTATCTTACATTTTGACAGAGCCAATAATAATTCACAGGCCCTCATATCAAGAACGTCTTACCTGAACTAAAATCCGCGGTCTCTGAGGAGATGGAAAAGGAACTTTATGCATAAAATGAGAAATGTGCCTTAAAAACAAACAGACAAAAACCCAATTGATTCTACAGTTAACACCATATGCTATAAAGGTTACTATGTCATCACAAGCCCAAGCCCAGTCAAAAGCCCTGGGTAGTATTTCAAAATCCCTAATACTAGAAAAACAAGTGAATAAAAGACAATCAAAGCTCATTTGTCCCATTGAAGTTGCTTTGTGTCTACATCTAATACCTTTTTAAATGAGCAGCTATTCACATTTAACATGTCTGTGTGATCAATGTCTCTAAAGTCATTTTAACTTTTACCCCTCCCTAAGCAGATACTATATAACACATCAGTGATGAAGATACTACCAAAGAAGCTAATTCTCTCATTTGTAATGTATTTTTAAACTCAATTATTCATATTTTGGAAGTGAAAGCACTTAAGGTGCTTCAGAAAAATGAAAGGATTTGGGTGTTTCTAAAAGATGTACAATATGCTTTTTATTAAAAGTAGCTTAAAATTCAATTACTGATTTTATAAATTTTTCCTAGGATATAATAGTAGATCAATGGGTTTTGTTTTGAACATTATGGAATAGAAAAATGTAACCAGGGCCAGCAAGTGGCATGGTGGTTAAGGCACTAGATCCCACATGGCCAATTGCATGGTGCGAGTCCCAGACCCAGCAGCTTATAAAACATGCTATGCATGTGTGCATGTGTGCCCCAAATCCTGAGAATGGAGAAGGATTTGTGGTGTGACCTTCCTCCCTGGGGGTTGATTTCACACTCTCTCTGGGCCCTGCCACCAGCAAGTGCATTAATCCTATAGCAAAACACTGAAGAAAAAATAAAAAGAAAAGAAAAAATAGCCATCAGGCCAGCTGGTGCCGTGGTGGTTGGAGCAGCTGGACCTCACGTGGCCAAGTGCATGGTCCAAGCCCTCGACCTACGGCTCAAAAATCGTGCGGCATGCCCACAATCTGGAGAGGAGAATGGAGGAGACAGGCCTGCAGTGTGGCCACCCCCACTGGAAGATGCTTTCTCACTTTCCCTCTCTCTGGTGAGCATACACACCCTACAGTAAAACTAAGGGGGAAAAAAAGGTAATCATAGTAAAAGATGCTTTAAAAAAAAAAGCAGTAAGCTATTTTATTAATGTACTATTATTTTAAACATTATTAAATTATTTTGAAATCATTTTGGTTTCAGAACTGAGATAATAGCAACTGCATAGAGGACACTAGAAAAGAAATTTTATCAATTTTCTGAATATTTTAATAATTTACTATATATAAGACACTGCCAGGCATGATAGGAAATAAGATTAAAAAAAAAAAAAAGGCATAAAGCTACCAGTCTCTACCATTATGGTACTTAGAATCTTAAAAAAAATAAAAAAAAAAGAAGAAGAAAGAAAGATAAAGGGAATGAGTACCACAGGACACACATCTGCCTGAATCATCTGAGGAACAGTGAATATCAAAGCATGGGCTGGCCCCACAGCCTAGTGGTTTAGGGAGCTGGATCTCACATGATCGACTGCATAGTTTGAATCCTGACTCCAGTGGCTCAAAAAACACACCAGGGGGAACCAGCAGTTAGCGTAATGGCTATGTCGCTGGATTCCCACGTAGTCGACCGCGGTTCGCGTCCCGGACCCAGTGGCTTAGAACTCACGGCCCAGGATTCCGAGAATGGAGGAGAAGGGGTTGCGGCATGACCATCCTCCCTGGGGGGTGATTTCTCACTTTCTGTCTCTATGTCTCTCTCTGTCTGTCTGGCGAGCGCACGTGCCCTATAGCGAAAAAACCTCTCAAAAAAAAAAAAAAATCATGCAAGAATAAAAGTTCCACTCAAGGACTAAGGCATGACCAGACCCTGTTGAGGATTGCGCGCTCTCTCTCTCTGTATCTCTGTCTCTCTCATGCGTGTGTACTCTCTGGCATAATAAAACAAACATTAAAAAGAAAAGTTCCACTTGGGAACCAGCAGAAACAGAGGAATAACTTTCAATGTAACAGAGAAAGAAGGTTCATTGCTAAAGTTTCAGATTCCACACTGCAAATAATCTGTAAGAAACTATTTTTCAAACTTTGTTACAGTGTCAAAAAAGGATATCTACAATTTTCTGAAAGGTCTATCCAAATGTCCTTCCCTTTACTACCTACTTTTCTCTGTGAGGCAAACTTTTCTTTATATACTCCTACCAAAACACCTATTGCAACAGACTGAATGCAGAACCATATTTTAAGCCAGGCATTAGAGATCTGCAAAAATGTAAAACAATGCCATTCTTCTCACTAACTTTTGTTTTGGAAAACAGTCATTTTTTCCAAAAAGACATTGATGTTAACATGCCATGGAGTAATTATTTAAAAAATAAACTAATAAATATTTTCTTAATTGTCAATTTTAATTTCTAGTACAATAAATCTTGATAGATATAACAAGTAAAAAACGTTATATGGGTTCATCATTTTTTTCTCTTCAATTGAAGGGGGTGTATATGTTTGCCAGAGATAGAGGGTGCATAAGAGCACATTCCTAATGAGACATGATTATGCTGCAATTCTTCCTCCATTTCTCTATCCAATAAGGATTTGGGTTATGCATGCACATGCACCCGTGTGTTTTTCAAGCCACTGGGGCCGCTATTAGAACTGAGGTTGGCTGTGTGGAATCTGGCTCCCTATGAACTGTGCTTAACCACTGTGCTATGAGCCCTTGGGTCCCATTTTTAAGAGAATGAAAGAGTCCCGAGACCCTTTTGAGAGTCTTGAGAACTACTGGATTAGAATCTTGAGATGAGAGTAGAAAGGGCAAGGAAAAAATAAAAAGTAAGTACATTCTCACGAATGCTCTCATGGTAAAGTCTATCACTTCTCAACTGTCATTAGAGTCAGACAAATCCTGCCTAAGGAAACAAAAGAGCGTAAGTGATAGATGGCATAAAGTGACGATAGTCAGATAGGCAATGGAGGTATCTGTGTCTCATTGCATCCGGTCTTACTGTATGAAGCATTCTTCAGTTTTAGTGATGTTAAAGTAAATCACTAAAAATAACAAAAAAGAACATTTTCACCTATTTTTGCCTTTTAACTTATATCTAAAAACAGTAAGGGATATTTTAAAAGTTTGTAACTTATCTAAATTATATGTAAAACAATAATTACAAAATTAGTAAAAAATAAATTCTAGTATTTCTCCAGATTAAGATCTCTAAACGTCAGAGCACACACACAAAGAAAAACCTAAAAGAAAACATTTATTTCACTTTGTTAGAAATAAAATTATTTTAAAAATCAAGACTGAAAAACTACAATGACACAACCACATTCGCTAAACTTACTTTTCAATTGGGAGGACATGAGGGCCAGAGATGGAATAACGATACAAAAAAGTCAGAAATTTCCTGAATGCATCAAAAAAAGGCCAGTGAGAAAGAAGACAGATGCATTTGTTAGTATGAATTGTTTTGGAACTATCACATTTTCCATCTGCCGATGACGTTAAACCCAAAAGAAGTCTTTGCTTTGCTGTGAGATTCTCCTCTGAGTATGGTTCATAAAACTGAATAGCAGCACCATAGACCTGCAAAACAAGCAATATATTTAGTAAATACACTTTCTACATTTATTTAAATCCTATCATCAGTGAAATATTTAATGGATGCTTGCTATGAGCCAGGCAAGTTGCCAGGTACTAAAGGAACATATGGTGAAGAGACATCACTCCTGCATTTTTGACGTATATAGGAACTATACAGCGTTATTCTCATGTTCCCTTATAAGTTAAAGATAAATTTTTAAAAATTAAATTGCATTTGTTTTATAAAGAGAGAAAGCAATCATACCAATATTCTCTAAAATAAAATGTATAAAAATAACATTTAATAGAAAATGAGACAGAATTTTAGATAAAGAAATGTAAATTCTGACTTAGGAAAAGTCATTTTATTCTCTGGATGTTAATTTTTCTACCCATAAATGAGGATGTCAGTCTACTTAATTTCTAATGACAACAGTCTATGACCCTAAATCACTTTATACATCATATTTAACAAAATCCTTTATTTTACTTTCAAAGCTTCTTATCACAGAAAATAAACCAATAAAGGATTGCCATTTGATGATAAAAACTTTTCTGGGTAGTCACAAAAAAAGCATTTTGGCAGATGGGAAAGCATGAAAATTCTTCTTATTTATATCTTTGGATACAGGTATTTTAATCTAGTGGAAATTGTGCGTATATTGGTTCAACCTACCCAGTTATTTTCCATTGTTTCTTGCATTATACTTGAAAATGCACAAGGACTCTGCAGACACCATTGATTAAAATACACAGTACCTTTTCAGCTGAGGCTCCAGTTAACACAAATGTAGAAAATACAGGGAGAGGGTATTTGCTATTTGATGGCCAACATTCAATAGTTGCACCCATTGGCAAACAAAATAGGGGAACAGATTCTGGTAGTGAGAACGACTCATAATCTTCTTGAGGATATCTACAAATTAGACCTATAAAAACAACAATAAATATTAGGTCATCGCCTCTTGAATTTAAGTGTTCATATTTTGAATAATAATAAGATGCTTTATTCACACATTTAAAAGGTCAAAACATTGCATAAATGTTCATTAAGTAGCTCTGAACGCCTCAATAGGATTCATTCAGATTTCAATCCTTGAACATTTTAATTATTAACATTAACTAACTGCTTAACTGCATCCACAAAAGCTATGTTAAGAGTAACAAAAAAGACGATTCTATATATACACAAAAACATACTGATAAAAATTTAGTTTGTGATCATAGCACCTTAAAACATATTAATTCTTTGAATGTTTGAATATAATTATTTGCATATATTCAATTCATCAGCTCTCAATTTTCCCTTCAGGGGCTTTTACACATTAAGATACACACCTACAGGAGTATACATGTAACTTGTAGTACAAGAAAATTACTCATAAAAATAGGTGAGTCAAATATTTACAATGTCACCAGGGCAGTATCAAGCCTTGCTCCTAAATAATTCAAGATTTTATGAAGATGGAGTTTCAAGTGGCCTATGATTTCACACTAGGTAGACTAGTCGGAAAAGTGGCCCAGGCATTTTCTATTGACCACATATAGAGCCTTGTGCTCCATCTTGTGGAAGGAGAAACAGAAACACGGGTCCTCTGATCTTGAAGCCCTTAAAGACAAGAGGAAACTGACAGTAGATATAGCCATAAAGCTGCAAATAGAAAAATTTTGTTCTGGCTCTGGACAAATTATCTACCTACTAGATTCTGGTTTTCTCATCTCTAGATTAACTAAGATCCAAGGCAGATCTAAAATTCTCTAATTATATGCTAAGCCACTTAATAGGTCCCATGAGGATCTACAGTTACCTGTGTACCTGCTCTCTAAGGTCATGAGGTACAATTGTAAAGTAAATTCAAAAATAGTAACAAATTGTGGGTGCTAGAAAGTCAAAGGTAGAAAGAACGCTGAGTATAGGATCCTAATTTTTTTTAAAAGATTTATTTATTTACTTATTCATTCATTCCTTCATTTTAATTTGACCAGAGAGACACACAGAGAAAGAGAGAGAGAGAGAAAGAAAGGAAAGTGAGAAAGCAAGCCACCAGGTCCAGGATTCGAACCGTGGTTGGCTATGTGGGAGTGTCCAGTGCCTCAACCATCACGCCACTTGCTGGCCCCACAGCTCCCGTTTTTAACAACCAAAAAGTGAAGCTTACCAATTCATCATTCACCAATCCAATATTTATTTAGCATTTAATGCATGCACGTGCCAGACCACACACTGATAGAAACACTGTGTGTGTGTGTGTGTGTGTGTGTGTGTGTGTGTGTACATATAAACTACATGGGAGTCCAGCGACATAGCCATTTCACCAACTGCTAGTCTGATAAATATATTTTATATATTGAAAGGTTGAATATAAATATAAAGATTGAATCAGCCCTCTTGTAAATAAGATCAGATACTTTGAGGTCTCTGGAAATTGAACACTTCAACTATGCAGTATAAAATCTTAAAATAGTATAATATTTCACTGTAGTGAAACTTAACTATACATGAACTAAAATTTGACTAATTTTTTTTTTTAGAGATTGTTGCTATAGGGCATGTGTGCTCACTGGAGAGACAGAGATAGAAAGTAAGAAATCAACCCCCAGGGGGGATGGCCACACCATAATCCCCACTCCTCTATTCTCTGGGGATCTTGGGCATGCATGAGCACAAGTCCAGTGTGAGTTTCAAGCCACCGGGTCTGGGATTCGATCTGTGGTCGATCAAGTGGGAGTCCAGTGACGTAACCATTACACCATCTGCTGCTCCCAAAATTTGACTAAATTGAATATAAACGTTAAAGAAATATCAACTTAAAAAAAAGTACATCTTTTTTTCCATATTTTTTACTAATATATGAAAAACTTAAAAAGGATTGGTATCTACTTACTGTATATTTAAACCTAAGGCTCAAAATAACCACCTTCTTTTCAAATTAATCTTTCACTAAGCATCCAATAAACATATGGATAAAGACAAAAATAGAATCAAAAGACATGGATAACAAACATATCAGAGATCGATTTTGTTTCTTTTTTAAAATCTTACTAGGACACATAATTTATTTATATATTAAAGTAGTCTATGAAAAGTCCTACTTACCAGCTTTGTAAGATATAGTGTTAGTCTTTGCCACTGATTTTTTATAACACAAGTACACTGCTGATCCCCACTGAATTAAAAAAAAAGAGAAATATTATTAAACTTTAAAATGTAGTTATTTGATAAAATGAATTCTTTTTGTGCTTTCCAGAACATATTATCTATGAAGTAGTACCTGTAATAGATTTCGCTCTGCTAAGCTATTTTTATGTGGTTACTTCGTCAGCATTTCATTGGAGTCATTGCCCACTTTCCTTTCAGAAATAGAAATATCTACTCGTGTGCACATATTTCTTTTGACACCAAAACCCCTTCCAGATACTGCCAGGTTTTCCTGTAGCCCTTTATGCCAAAATTCCTTGAGTTATAATTTGCCGTATGCATTTCCTTACTTCTCAAATCTATTCCAAGTAAGACTTCAATCTTCACCGCTCCTTAAAAGAAGCCCTCAACAACTTCCACGATGCCAAATCTAATAGCTGTCCTTGATCTCTACCTTATTCATCAACGTCTCAGCAGATCTGGACAGCACTGATAACTCCCTCATTAACCATTTTCTTGGCTTTGAGGCAACACAATCTTCCTACTCACCACTTCTCTGGCTATCCCTTTTCAGTCTCTGTGGGATTCTCTTTTCCTCCTGACCATTCTATATGGTACCTTTTTGCTTTACTTAGTACAAATGGTAAACGTGCAGTCCCTATGGTTTTAAATAGTAGCAATTCACTGTGGCATCTCAAATTTCTAGTACCAGTCAGAAACCCTATAGCCATCACACCAAATCTAGACTCGCATCCAGCTGCCTACCTAACCCAAGTCCTCCACAGTAGTCCTCCCTTATCTGTGGTCTCGCTTCCCACACTTTCGGTTATGTGCAGCCAACCATAGTTAGAAAATACTAAACGCAGAATTCCAGAAAGAAACAATTCATAGATTATAGACTGTGTGCCATCTGAGTAGAGTGATGAAATCTGACACTGTCCCACCTGGGGCGTGAGTCATCCCATGGTCCAGAGTATCCAGGCTGCGTACACTACCTGCCCATTAGTCAGAGCAGCCATCTTGGTCATCGGAGTGACTGCTGAGGTACTGCAGTGCTTGTGGTCAAGTCCTTAATTTTACTTAAGAATGGCCCCAAAATACAAGAGAGGTGATGCTGGCATGTGCTTACAACAGTTCTAGTTTATCTGCAGTTTTTGTTAACCTTTATTGTGCCTAATTTATAAAGGAAACTTGATCATAGGCACGTTCATATAGAAAAAATGCCGTTTATATAGGGTTCAATACTACCTGTGGTTTCAGGGATACAGTGGGGGTCTTGGAATAATACCCCCCCCCAGCTAGGGTGGAACTATGGTTATTCTCCATGACCGTAACAGAAATCTTGTCACTGTCGGACTTACTCTTCTTCCTAGTGTTATCCACTTTGGGAAATGGCCCCACTATTTTCTCACTCTCAATTCCCGAGTCACTCTCGACTTTACTCTTTGTCTCATACATCACATCCAATCCATCTACAGATTCTGTCAACTTCATACCTTCAAAACTGACCTTGAACCTCATCACTTTGTACTGCCTACTGCTTTTGACCAAGGAATCACCACCACTTGTCACTAGGAACTGTGGCTGCAGCTTTCTTGAAGGACTAGGTGCTGTCCCTCCACAGTCTATTCTCTATAACCAGAGCGAGGAGCCTTGTAAGATGTAAATCAGATCAACTTACTCTTAAATGGCTTCCAACCAGATTAAGAGAACCTAAACTCCTTACTCTAGCCCACAGATTCCTACACAGTCTGATCTCTGCAGTCTGTGATCACTTCTCCAACCTCACTGCTCCCCTGGCCTTCTCAAAGACACCAAGCACATATCTCAGTGAGATACACTTTGTGTCCTGTCCATCCTGCCATTTCATTCAGGTCTTTGCTCAGATGTCCTTTCTTAGAGAAAGCCTTACTAATTGCCCTCACCAAAACAGCACCCTCGGCACTGTCAGACCACTTGCCATTCCCATAATCACACGCTACCTTCATTTGCTGTTTGTCTCCCCACTTGAATCTAAGCTCAGTGAAGGAGGGGACTTAGTTTTCTTCACCACTCTACTCCTAGTGGCTCTCATGCAGCAGGAGTTCAGTAAGTACTGCAATCATCAGGAAAGTCATGGAGTATTTTTGCATAGGGAGACACTGAAAAATTTAACACGACTTTCCCGATGACCTAATATTATTAAAGATATATTCAACTTACTTAAAGTTTTTGAGATAAGAATAATAAGTAGCTTTATAAAATAGCCATTCTTCACAAAATCCATGAAAAATGAGTACAATGTCATTGATAAATAAAACTATTGTATAATTGAAATTTTTATCATCACGATTTCATGTTATACATCTCCGTGACCATTGCCATAGATGACGATAATCTCCCAGCGTTCCTCCTTCCAGTTTTGCTTCCTACTCACTATACTTATTACTGTATAATAGAGTTATCCTCTTTCGTTATTTTTTTTCTTCAGTTTTTGCTACAAGGCATGTGCGCTTGCTGGGGTTGGGGTGATGGATGAGAAATCACCCCTCCTCAAGGGAGATAGCTATACCACAATCCCTTCTCCTTCATTCTCCTCTTGGGATTTTGGGCACACATGCATGTACCATGTGCCTGGCATGATTCTCAAGCTCCTGAGTCTGGGACTTGAACCACAAACTGGCCATGTGGGATTCAGCACCTCAACCTCCATGTCACCTGCTGGCCCAAAAGAGTTGTCCTCTTAAGATAAAGGTCAGCAAGGGTCAGTAGGATGCATGATCAGGTGGTGGTTGAGGTACTGGATTCCCACATGGCAGACCACAGTCTGAGTCCCGGACCTGGCAGCTTAAAAATTACTTTAGACGTCTGTGAGTACATGCCCAAAATCCCCAGAAGAAAATAGGGAAGAAGGGACTGCAGTGTGGCTACCCCCGCCGCCAACAAGTGATCTCAGATTCTTCGTCTCTCTCTTTCTCTCTCCAGCAAGTGCACACATCCCGTGGCCAAAACTAACTAACTAAATGTCAGCAGGAGGCCAGCAAGTAGTATGGTGGTTAAGGCACTGAAGCCCACATGGCTGCCTCTGCACTTCAAGTCCCAGATGAAGCAGACTGAAAAACATGCTACGTGCATCTGCATATGGGGGAGAAGGGACTGTAGCATGGCCATCTTCTCTGAGGGATGATTTTTCACTTTCCCTCTCGCACGCTCTCTCCAGCTGAGTGCACATGTTCTATGGGGAAAAAAAAACACTAAAAATAAATAAATGAAAAATAAATGTCAGCAAACACTGTTCTGATCAAAACTTCAGAATAAAAGTCAGTCCTCACAATCACCTAAACGTCCTACATGATCTGCCACTGATTTTAATCTCTTATTCTCCCCTCAATTAAGTGTGCTTAAGAGCATTCTCTTTACTGTTTCCAAAACATGCCAAGAACATTTATTCCCTTTTTGAGACTCTTGCATAGACTTTCCTTCTACTGAAAACATTCTTTTCCCATGATATCGGAATGACTTACTCCCTTACTGCCTTAAAACACTGCTTTCAATTAAGGCCTACCCTGAGTAAAGCAGATAGTGGTAGAAGGGGGCCAGGTTATGTGGGGCCTTGCAGGGTCATTTAAGGACCTCCACTTTTACTGCTCTGAGAGAAATGCAAAGCCACTGGAGGGTTTTGAGTAGAGGATGGCATTATCTGACTTAAGGGTCACTCAGAGGACTATGTTGAGAGACACAGGAAGAAGAGAGGAAACCAGTTAGAAGACTACTGAAAAATGACGATGCTGTGGATGAGGGCAGTAGCAATGGTGATGATGACAAAAAGCTCCAGTTCTGGGCATATTCTGAAAATAGAGACAAGATATCCTATTTGATTATACATTAAGTAGAAGAAAGATGATGCCAAGGTTTTAGGCTGAATAACAGAAAGGGTGAAGCTCAACTGAGTTGGGGAAAACTGAACAAAACCGATTTGGGGGGGGTGAAGATAAGGAATTTGGTTTTAGGAATATTGCGTTTGAAACTTGTAACTGGATATTCAAGAGAATAATCAAATGAAGCTAAAGTGAGAGGTCTGACAAGGAGATGTAAGCAGAGCTGAAAACCTTGACACGTACAGATGGTGACAGACACGTTGGCATGGCTCACTTCCTCCTTTCCTTAGGTCTCAACTCAAACGTCACTTAGGAAGCCCTCTTCCATCACCTTATGTGCAATGACAAGCCTCCCTCCACCCTGTCCAGTCTTCCTATTACCCTTACCTTGCATTTTTTCCCCTCCATAGCACCTATCACCATTTGGCATATTCTATATTTTATGTATTGTCTGTCACCCACCATTAGAATGGAAGTTCTACAATGGTAATAAGGACTTTGTCTTGTTCACTGCTGAAACTGTAGCACCTAAAATAACACCTGCTACATAAAGATGTTTAATAACTATCCATTAAATGAATTAATATGAGAAGGTACATTTGTGTAAGCATGATAGAGAATACCTACATGAAGAAGTACGTAAGGATGGATTTACAGCACTGAGAACAAACATTTAAAGAGAATAAACTTTAAGACATATATTTTAATTAAGAGACTAGTGTAATGAACACTCAGTACTCATCACCTAGATTTAACAAGTGTTAACAATTTACTATACTTCTTCACATATTTAATTTACAAAGAAATTAAAAAATTACAGGTTTAGCTAAAGCACCATCCAGAGGGGACATGTCCTTGCCATAGAGATGGAAGAAAAGTGAGGAAACACCCCCTGCCATGGGACACAGTCATGCTGCCATCTCTTCTCCATTTCTCCCTCCTTTTTTTTTTTTTTTGGAGAGATTTTCGCTATAGGGCGCATGCGTCTGCCAGACAGACAGAGACATAGAGACAGAAAGCAAGAAATCACCCCCCAGGGGGGATGGTACGCCATAATCCCTTCTCTATTCTCCTCTTGGGATCTTGGGCACACACGCACAGGCGCCCGGCGTGAGTTTTAAGCCACCTGGTCCGGGACGCGAACCGCGGTTGACTACGTGGGAGTCCAGCA